TACAAACTGCAAAGGCTAAATTTGTCTATGATGAGGTTTCATAATCTAAAAACGTTTTATGACAATTTCATTATGCGTATGAGCAAAACTAGCACATGAACCGAGAAGGAAAAGCTCAGTTTTCAGTTAGTTTTGCAAATTCGTACATAAATCACCGTTCAATCTATTTATTTTTATCTTCGCTTCACTTTGAAGTTTTAAAAATTAAGGTAAGACTTTATGTTGAGATTATTGACTGTAGAACGCCATTTGACAACATTTGGGGCCTCACTTACTTTTTGGCTTAAATATTCTACTAAATATACACTTGTTGCTCAAAAAATCGTGAATTCGTTTCCAAATACATTATAAAGATTTGGGTCAATTTCAGTTTACATGAAGTTTCTTGGTTTTTAATGTTTCATACATCAAATTTTTTTCATCCTTGTCTGAGCATGCAAAACGAGGCGGGATATGTTGCACAAATCGAGGCCAGCACTGCAAACGAAAAATGAGGCTGGCTCTGTGTATGCCAAAACGACGCAAGCTCTGTGGACGCAAAAATGAGCGGGCTTCTGGCATGCAAAACGATGCGAACACCTCATATGCAGGACAAGGTGAACCCAGACACACAAGATGAGGCGGCGCTCACGCACTCACGCACGCAAAACGATGCGAACTCCCGGATGCTCAAAAAATAATTCGGACTTCACACACAGAAAAATATGTTTTGAAGAATATAATAGTTTGTTGTAGTGGTAAGAAAAAAAAACAAAACTAACAAAAAATTACAAAAATAGTTCAAATTTTTGGGATGCCAGAAAGTCACTGGCACCCCCCAAGAATTTGAATCTTTTGTTAATTTTCTTTTTGTTTCTTGCACCCTCTTTGCTCCCACTTCTCATTGTACGCTCTATAAGTGTTGTGCGTCCTCCAATCAACATTTTTGAGCCATTTCCTTGAAATTGTTTTTGTGCATCGAACCTCCTTCCTCAAGCCTCCTTTATCCAACCGTTGAATGCTAAATTGGAGAAATTTTTAATTATGATAGGAACACAGGGTTTTATGTAAGTGTGAAAAATTATATTTTTCAAGTTATTAACTTTTTGACACACATATCTCATTATTTATGTAATGACACATATTATATCATCCTGTGTGACAGTCACACTGAAAAATCTCTCGTCAAATTGCTTTGGAATTTTAACAGGGTAATGATATGCTCTCTTTTCAAAAGAGATAAAGATGGTTCGGGACCTTCCCTATTTTTCTTGCCCAACGAAGTTGTTTGGCAGAATTTTTAGGTAGCCTTTTGTATGGCTGGCATTCGATCCGCAATAAGTAATTGATATTAAAAAAAACACTTCAATTCGCCAAAAAAAAAAAAAATCAACCAAAATATAGTTACATCTCCATCCCCGATCTCACTGAAAACGTCAAACAATCTTACTAGATCATGGACAACTCCAAAATTGTTGCTAGTGGATTTCTTCAACAACTCCGTCCAACCCACTAGAAACGGAAAATCCATGAGAAGAGTTGGTTGTGCATTTACACCTAAAAATAGCGACGTAATCATATAAATGCGCTTCATTACAAAAAAAAAATCTACATTTAAAGACAAAAAACGATAAATAGTTAATCTAACGTATATGTACAAAGAAAAATATCACGTGAAATTAAATACTTACCATCAAGGAGAAAGTATGTCTCATCACACAGAATGACTCCACGTTTGAAATACCGATTTTGTAGTTTGCTATGCTTTTCTTGACATTTTCTATTGAAAAGTGTAGGTGCACTAATAAAGTAGCACCTAGGTATCAATCCCTTGGATACTCTCCAAGAGAGGAAGAAAAACACCTTGGGCTTTACATGTTTGGTCCAATTGAAAATAATATATATATATACTCTCTCCAAGAGAGGAAGAAAAACACTTTGGGCTTTACATGTTTGGTCCAAGTGAAAATAATATATATATATATATATATATATATATATATATATATATATATATAAGAGGTATGCCCTAACATAAGGTAACAACTGTGGACTATCTACACATATTTCACGTGGCGCTACCTCAAACTTTTCCTTGAGCAACTTGAATTTTATACTTCTCCCTTTAACTACAAAATCCTCTCCTAAATAGTTGAGAGACATATATTGTCCACCATAATCAATTCCAGAAACAGCTTTGCCATCAACTGGAAACCCAGCGATGTACAAAACATCTTCCAGGGTCAACACTAACTTGCACCCTCTAGGAAGCACGAAACATCAGTTTTTAATAGGGAACTTTAACGAAAAACTCCCGGTATTGTTCACTTTAACGAAAAACCACATTTTTACACTAATGAAGCAGAACAACAGAGTACTCTCTTATATTTCCAAGTCCTATGATTTATGTATCCTTTTTTATCTTTGCTTCGGCTTCGTGCAGGTTCCTTTTCTAGGTCAGCTGTGAATCATGAAACTGGAGCAAAAACTGGTTTACTTCCATGTTATAGCATTTGTCCTATTCATTTAGGAATGGAATCTTCTGCAGTCAAAGTTAATATCCTCAAAACATGTATCCGTATTACCTGCAATTTGAGTTTATGCATAAAGGTCGTACCTGTGCACAAGGCTCCCGCTTTACGCAGGGTCTGGGAGAGGTGAAGGTCTGCAATTTGAGTTTATGCATATTCATGGAAATTAAAAGTTCCATTCTGGCTAGTGGAGAGCAAAGAAAATGACACTATTGCTATCATTGACATGTCCATGTACTACATGTAAATGAAGTGGATTTCTTGTTTTCTATTTGTGGATTCTGCTTCTCTGACCGTGCGCTGATATTTCGAGATAATTGAACTGGTTACTACTCAGACAACAACTCTTTTCTATCGAAATTCAGGTGGACTACGAGGAGGCTATATTTTTATGGGGTGTAGATAGGAAAGATTTTCTTCTTTGGACCATTACTGCACTACAACATTGTTCCTTGGCATTGAGATTGGCGTCCTTATTGGGGTGAGTAGTTGAAGCAATGTTATTTTTGGGAGACCTTGTTCGAACTTTTACCCAAAAGAATCCGTATTTTCATATAGAAAGGCTGATTAGGGCATAAGAACTGTCATTTGTTGTGCTAAATACAACTTTGTCATGATAAGAATCCAATGTTGCCTCGGTACCTCAATCTCAGACGACAATTAATCTTATATGCATGCAAGACAAGTTTTCAAATTTAGTTCGCATTAGCTTGACATGTATATCGTTGTTGTGTTCTTATTAGCTCAACCTTCTGTGGCAATAAATTCCAAAGTAAATTTCATATAGATCATTGAATTTCCGGATGATCTCTCTCTCTCTCTCTCTCTCTGTTTCCTTTTTCAATTCATATAGTTTTAATGTGCTTGTGTGATTGCAGGCTGGTGTTTTGCTTTGCATTTGTCATCCATGAATCAGCAAACCCGCATATTGGTAAGTGCAATTTCAATTTATCCTAAATTATGTGCACATTGTAGACATGTATAAGGATCGATAACAACTAAACCAATACGACAGTGCTTGCAACAATAATTAAAACCATGCATGATCATATTAAATGCAGTACACACATGATTAGTGTTCATGACAGTATAAGGAATATATTTACTTGGAGTGGAAGACAGTGAAGCCATGATCTTGTCTTCTCTTCTCTTGGATTCAGAAATAGTATCTCAATACTCTCAATAGGACTGGTATTCGATATGAGAACAAGTAGTACCCGATAAGAGAGACCAAAATCGACTTTATATGCTGCAACTGCATCTCCCTATCAGAGATGCAGTTGCTGTCAGTTTGTGTAGGTTACAACTGCCTTTTATTTGAATTGATAACCACCTTTAGTTTTCCCTCTAATATAGAATTAATCCGGTGTAATCCATATAATCGAGTCCTTACATAATACAAGCCTTTCACTTGTATATTTGCACCGTGGTTTAAATGACACTCACATATAAGTCATCCTTACACACATAAGTAGATGCACCTTGTTCATAGCTTCCTGAATTATGTGTTTAATTTGGTTCATGTTTCAACTTTCAATGATTCTAGTAATGAAGTTCAGTCTGTTCTCTTATTCTTTTCTTATTCTTTTCTTATTCTTTTCTCTAGTTTTCATCATCATCGTCATCTCTGCTAAAGGAGACGCGTAAAACAGCAGACCCTTCGTCTGAAGGGAGACTGAGTTCCTTCCATACATTGCTCGGGCAATGAGCAGAGGATTCATCGGTGTCCGAACTGCAGTCTGGCACCCAGATTGATCCCCAGTTGGAGCCGCTATTGTCATGAAAATCTTCTTGATATTGATGGCATGTAATATGTGATGCCTAAATTTTTGCTAGGCAGCTTTGTATTCAATCACATCAATCCCATTCTTTTAGCTGTTCAGGGTTTTGATTATTTCATGTAATTAGGCTCCTTTGTAGTTGTAAAATGTAATACACGAGCTTCCTTGAAAAAGCCAAATTGTAAGTAATGTACTTTGAATAAATGTAGAGAAACAAATGTTTACGTCACGTTCGATGTTATGAAGGCGTTGTTCTTCAATCGATCTAACTTCACCAGTACGTGCTCTTCTGATTTCTGTTTCTTGCTACCAGTACCGATATGGTTTCAGTGGTTCAATAAATCATGGAGGTGGAATGGCTTCCCACAAGACTTTTGTCTTTGCTGAATCTTGCGTGTCATCCGTTTATACACATAGATGAGTTACGTGATGAGAGATGTAGATGCACGGGTATAACCGATGAGAACAGAATCACTCCATGTATTTCTCAAAATATAGAAATGGATTCACCTATACATCGACACCAAGGAATCTAAAAATCGAACTGCCTAGAACGCTTCTTCTAAAAGTTAGAACTAGTTTTGGAAGCCTACAGGAAGAAGAGAAGGCAAACTTTCTTTTATAAACTATTTGTCCCACATCGGTCATTTAATACAAACTCGGTCCAAGTGGGGATGCATAAAACAAAGCTGGGTTGCTAGGTTGAAACTTGCCTTAAACTAATGAGTAAGGAAAACAAAGCGAGCGGTGAGAGCCGTTCGCCGCGCAAAGCACTTTAGTGCGCAAGAATTTATGGAGGGGTTATAGGCTGGCCGAGTGTTGACGCTGTTACTTTGCAGAACTCACTCGTGCGGGCCTCCCTATTACCCTCACCAAGCACAGTGTCAATCTAAAAATTAAATAATTAAAGTGTTATTTGTATATTAAAATCAATTAAGCAAAAGTAGAACAAAATTAAATAAAAATGTGCGCGCCAAAAAAGCTATTGAAAAACTTTAGGTCTTCATTTGATCTAATTTAGCAAATCTAAAGCACTTCTTACAATTTATTTTTTGTTGTAGAGGTGCATGTTATTATGGACTCTTTCATGTATAGACAAAGTCAAGAAAAGTGGGTCTCCACTCATTCAATTTCAAGGATTTCTACCAAATTCTCATAAGCAGCACGTCACAAGCAGTAAAAGAGAAGATACACAATCTATTGTCTCCATTGCTTTGTAATTTCAATTAGATAATGAGATAGACTACTGCTACTATCCTGAGGATGTATTTGTCGAAACCCGTAAATATTATGACACACCCCGACCGAAGTCGAGACGTGTTGGCCGTCACGTGAGCGTGACGTAGCCTTGTGCGCAAAGCGGAAGCGATAAAGAATAAGGAAAAACGAACAATTTGAAACCAAGCAACTAGCAATTCCAGTTAAGAAAGGATGCTAGTGAGGGTCTAAGTGTATAATTACACTTTCAGAGCAATAAGAAGATCTAGTTGCAGTCAAGTAGGACAATTACTAAGATACAACACCCTAAGGTAAATCCTACTTTTCAGATTCTGTTAGAACACCGTTGAATTCCTCGTGGCCACCAAACTCTGCTACCTAAAACTTGGAGGGGCGAAAAACAAAGTTGAGTGGGTCAGTAAAACACATTTACACAAAAACCTTATTTTCCTTTGAATATACTAACCCCTCGCCGTAAAACAAGTATATAGATATTTTCCTAGAAAATAGAATACATAAATATGTATATATCTCAAATCATGCTCAAAAATCAAGATTCATATTTGTATGTATGTCATACCTATATATAACAGAATAAGCAATTCAGGTAAGAATAGTTTCATACAAATATAACATGTTAGCCGGAACCCCTGTGGTAGTCTGTACGGCTGAATTCATAGCTCAAGAGTCAATCTAACCGGAGTCACTACAATGACCTATACGGCAATATACTGCACAAGAGTCGGAACCAAATGCAAAGGTCTGTACGACGATATGGGTGTAATATAATTATGCTCAATACTACTCTCACATAATAGCAGGGCGATTAATTGCTAGTCACCTACGAGTCGAAACCATAAATAAGGTCTGTACGACAAGACTGTGCACCTAAATTGGATCCAATGTGAGCATATGGTGCAGGAGGTGACATAATAAACAGGCATGTGTCATGTCTTTGGCTATATCACAATCACCCTAAGTGCAGTTTTATGAGCTCAACAATATTCAATCACATATCACATCATCGACAATTCACATAACCAAACATAACTTACCTGAGCTTACCTGAACCTCCACAGCACCATGCAGCAATATGCATAATTATGATAATGCATATACTAAAATAAAATATAGGCATAGCATGGCATTTAAATCACATTTCCTAAATACGTTTTCTGGGAAAAAAACGTCAAGTTATATATATATACTGAAAATAACTGCTCACTCAATGAAATGAAGTCGGGTCGTAACCCCCATGCCTAGCCTGGCTACGCTAGTCCTCTGGATAGGTCTCGCCTATAGGAGAAGCAACTATATAAACGTCACTTTAATGCACATATACCAAACTATGTAATAACTTCTCATACATAGCTCAAATTGGGTATATGAATATACCACAGTGACCTACACAACGTCACAATCACCCATGAATTTTTAAAATACTTTTCTGACCCCGCACGCGAGGCCACGCGCAGGGAATCCTGACGGATTCTCTAACCCCGTTAGGAATATTCCGTTAAAAGCTAATGGATTCTGTTAAGTTTACCTGACGGCGTCAGAATATTCCGTCAACTCTGACGGAATATTCGCTCGTCTTCTCCGAATGCTCGCCGGACTCCTCGTCGTCGCCGGAAAACTGGGAAATAGAAAAACCTTCATATCTCAGCCAATTCAACACCATTTTCCATGAAATTTTCACCAATATGAAGCCCTAATCATGAAGAACACAACCTTACCAATTTGAAGCTCCAAAAGTCACAGGATCTCGCCGGAGAAATTCCACGAAATCCGGCCAAGCTTGAAACTCACGATCCCGAAGTCCAAAACACATCAACAAACTACTCCGAGCTTCTTGGAGACGTCTAGAAGCTCCCTATGATCTCCAAAATCACTGAAACCTTCGTTTTTACGTGTGCATGAACAATGCACATTTTTGGGTTCTCGGTTCTCGGGGAAAATGAAGGTTCTAATCCTAGAGAATAGTACCATTCAACTCGTAAGGTTACAAGGAACAAGATGGTGACCTTGAATCCCTCGATCTGTGAAGATTTGGCTTGGTTTAGGTGTGGTCCGTACGAAAAAGGAAGAGAGAGAGTCTGAGAGAAAGGGCATAGGAGTGAAAGAGAGAGAAAGTGGTACTTTTGTGTGTGTGTGGTTTACAACAACCAACCAATCACCACTAATTTCCTTTAGTTCCAATTGGTCCAAAAAACTTAGGAATTTAACATATTAGTCCACTTCTAATAGCATGTCACACACAACACATCTCAACGCCTAAGGGCATTTTAGTCTTTTCACACCGTCGATAATTAAATAATATACTTCTCCGGGATGGGCTGTGACAATTATGTCTTATTTACTTTATGTTCCTCAATTTCACAACATTATAAGTATTTTTTTCATTCTTGAAAATTTCGAAAATAGATAATATATGAATATTCTTATTGTTGACACATCTTTCGTTTAGGTGTTTACATATGAGCCCTTAACAAAATTACACTAGCTAAAGAACACTTCAAAATAGTTTGACAAAGCATCATTCTTGCTTTACAATGGAAGACTGGCGCCACAAGTAAAACATGACAAGTGGATGGTGGAGGGGTTTCTATCTACAATTGAGCTCTTGAATTGTTTATATATGAACCCTATGATTGTTAGGGTTTTTTTCTTTCCTAATTTACTACTTCGGTTACTTACAATGAAAGAATGCCCACGTTGAAACTCAATTTCAACAAGGTATCATTATCAGTGTTGGCTTGGTGAGGGTGTTCCGGCATAGTTAGAGTTTTACTTTAGAATTTGCCGTAGCCGGTCTCTTGTTTGGGACTCTTTACTGTAATTTTCTTATGTTGGGATGTAGTTTGACTTGTTATTTTGGGCTACCTTTCTATTGGGCTTTTCTTACTTTGTAATAGTCATCTTTTATTTTTTTTGAACAAACAATATTATTTATACTAAAGAGATGGACGAGTGGGCTAAGTTTCACAATAGCTAGCAATAATATGGTTCAAATTCGTTTTTAGTGATAATCGAACTTAAGATCTCTCACTTACAAATAAAGAGGAATATCACTAGACCATAATACTAAATGGCTAGCCGTCTTCATCATTGAATTTTGTAATTAATAGCCATCAAATCCAAATCTTTAATTTTCTTTAATTTTCCTCCGTCCAAAGGCAAAGGATGCTAAAACTGCACACGTACCTCCTCAAAATGTCTTGCAACAGCTAAAGCTTTCAACCCCGCATCCTGACCTTTTCTTGTAATTCACGAGGATGGAAATTTAGTTGGCAGAAAAATCATGTGCCGTTAGAAATCAAAGATCAAACGTCCAATCATGCATCCTGCTAAAGTCCACAATAATTTTGTTTCTTCCTCAAAAGTCTACTGAGTTACTATTTGTTGTTTGAGACGAGAAGTAAAGAGGCAGTTGATTTGATCGGCAAGTGAGCTCTCAAGTGATTTGATCGACTACGTACGTACTTGACAGTGTTGAAACTGAGCTATGCATGCACCTGTTGAACTAACCTTCATTTTCAGTTTCACCCTCTGTGATTTGAGCACGCAGAAGATGAAATATGGTCCTCCTTTTTTGGTCCTCGTAAACGATATGGTCCGCTAAAACTAGTACTTTAATTGGTCATTTCCTTCTGAACAGTGGAAAGTGATTTCAGCATACTTCTTACTTTCTATTAGGATGATTAATGGGTACTCATTTAGTTAAATAGAGGACTATTTAAGTATAGATATGTGTTATTTGTGGCGGGGAGTGATGGTGTTTTTGCTTGTGACGATGATGATAGGATATGGAGTATCCATGAGCATCCATTGACCATCCTTACTTTCTATATATGTACTTTGTTTATTTGTCCATCTTTTGATAATTAAAAGAGAATCAGAAGACACAAAATAACACGTAATGCAAAAAAAAAAAGTGTGCAAAAAGCATTCCTTTACATGATCTCTCATGATCTCTGATGAATTTTTGGTAATTGTTTATGTTGCAGAACGTACAAAAAGAAAGAGTAAAGTTTAACTAGGCAATTGAATTAACTACAAACATGATATGAGCTCTTTGGATGAAAAGGTGCTCAGCACCCTTATAGGGTGTGGGAGGAAACATGTTTGTAGTCTTACTGACTGTACTGAAGATACACCCTTAATTGATGAGTGATATGATTTTTACCACCTGCAAAAGTAGAGATAAAAATATTTACAAATAAGAGTACAAGGATATCGTAGTATAGCAGCTCAAGCAAGATCGTTTTCTACAAGGATTGAATTAAACTAATTCTTAATTAATTATTTGAACAAGATTTTGGAAAAGGTTGATTTTGTGACTTAAAATATTAAAAACGAATTTAAAATAAAGACAATTAAATAAATCAACTAGAAACCAATTTAAAGAAAATCAATTTGTAAAAGCCCTAGGGTTCAACTGTCACCTTAACAATCATACGTAATTCTTCCAATTACTTATGAATTACCTATGCATATTTCGAAGGTTAGGTTTTCCTAATATATATTTTACTTTGAACCTCCAACATACAACGTATATCTAACATGCAACCCGTCAGGACGTTCGCATCAAATGTGAACATGAGACACTCATTATGCTTTATGAAAACCCTTTGAAAAACCATGCAACCCTTAAGACGTGATGTTCATCTTAAGTGAAATTACAATTATTAACCATAAGAAGCTAGCCCCAATTTCAGGGAACCTTCCGACTAAAATTGCATCAAATTACTTTTCTAAATATCCTAATGGTCGCGAATCACTAAGACACTTAGATAGTTTAAAATGGTGATTAATAATTCAAAACATGCATGCATTATATCATAAGTAAATTTGAAAGAAATTACATATTCTTGCTAAGGCTCAAGGCTTCGCCCTAGCAAAAGAAACTAGTTACGAAAAATCATAAAACAAATTATTATTGAGAATAAGGATAGAAAACACCTAAAAAATAAACTTGAAAAACCCTATAAATTGTGTGTGCGTTCTCCTCCTCTTTTCTCCTTCTCTGATGGCTAAAAAGCCTTATTTATACTAATCCAAATTAAAACCCTCATAGAAAAGGTTTTCTAAAAAACTAGAAAATAAAATAATAAAAGGATAACTAGGAATTACATTCCTATTCTGACTAGGAAATCTGTCCATCAAAGAGATAGCCACGTTTCTGGACCTTCAGGGCTTCAAAACAGGCCCAAAACGACTCGAATTAAAGATTAGGACCTCCTCTTTAAGTTCCAAGAAGAGCCCAAGTCCAAAATCCATCATCTTCCAGCCCAAAAGTCGCAAATAAGCTCTGCAGCCCAATCAGCCAGCACTGCACGCTGGGCATAAATTAATTCGCCACGATCTGATGCTTCGAGATAAAATTATAAAATTTTGATACAACCTTCTTGATAGATTCACGAACCCGTTCCAATTGGAATCACTCAAATTCCACCGTTTGATTATTTTTTGCTCAAAACAAGCTTGCATGTCCTACATTAAAAACACATAGCAAAGCATCAAAATCTCACCAAAATAATAACCAAAATATACCAAGAATAGGAAATAATATATAGTATAAAATCGACCCATCAATGAGCGTTACTTTTTTTTTCTTTTTTTTTTTAATATAGCATTACTGAATTAGTTTACTTAGTTTCTACATGTAAGGTGGCATTTTCTGTTTACTTAGCTTGCAAATACTCATTAATGTTATAAAAATAAAAATTGTTATGTGCATGTTAAATTGTAATTTATCTCCAAAAAGAATGACTCATGATTAGCGCTAAGAATATTTCTTTGATTTTTTATTTGATATGCATTTGCCCAAATTGCTCTTAATTTTTTGTTTATGTTGTTTTGTGTTAGCTTTTATTTGTTTAAGCCTCGGGGAGACTTTTGTAGTTGCTTTTTGTTGCTTTGGGATTAGATTACATTGGGTCGAGTCACAGATTCACTTCACAATTCTAATATTGGTAATTCTACATACACCCAAAAGTTCTCTCCAAACACCAACTATTGACTATAGAAGTTGATAGCTCTGTTGATATGTATGAGCAAGGCACTTAATCAACTGGCTCGATTATTGGTCCTTGCTCATTATTGAAATACTGCAGGTGTGCTTTGGGCCATCTGCTCCGTATATTTTGAACAATGAGTACATCACATACATAAATCGCATCCGGATTCTCTTTGTGAGGATCCTGTGAATCCATAAATCGTATATCGTGCGGTCAGTTTTTGTCATGTATTGTTTGTGTTCAATTTTAAATAATAAAATTTAAAATGATTTTTGACCGTACGATATACGATAAATGGACATGATTTACAGATCTCTTAGTTCCTCACAAAGAGGATCCGGAGAGGACCCTCATCCATGTAAATCATACAGTTGGCTGGACCATGTGTACTATTAATGAGAAAGATCAATCCACCATAAGTCAACATTCTAAGATGTTTGGTGTTAGCGAGATTTTCGCGTATCCACAAATCTCTCCGTAATTTTCAAGATATATTGTGTCAAAAATGAAAAGTTGTGTCACTAAATACTACGGTTTGGTGGTATTCTTCTGTACTTGGAAGTGAGAAGTCTTAGGTTCGGCCATTTAAGGCCGAACATACCCTTAAAACTTAAGAACTGTTGTCAACCTACTAAACATCATTAAAACACTAAAAGTCGCCATTAGTACCTAGCTAACTACGTACTGATTTCTTGTACCAGTCAGTGTTCAGCTGGTAACATTATGCATGAGCAATGTACTGTCTTCAATGGGTGAGTAGGAGATAAGGATAAATCCATTGATCATATAGCTAGGCCTTAGAGTCTAGTGGTGGAGACTGGATAGTTGGAAGGCAGTGATAAGGCTGAAGGTACGTAATAGTTATCGAATAGTTTAGAGAAGGGTAGGGCCTAGCTGATAAATAAATAAATTGAGGCCGTTCTTGTGTGTTTTTATAAAAATAAAAGTAAAGGAGAAAAACCCTTCGAACCATGAATTGTTGCTGCTAAACAAAAGCATCCAAATTTCAAGTCCAGTACTACTCTTATATAGATATGATGAATACTTGTCTCATATCTCTGCAATTAAGGAAGGAGCTAGGAGCTTTCTGCAGCCTAAGAATATACGGTGTACTACATGTATGTATGTATGTATGTATGCACTGAATTAGTTTCATTTATTGGTGCATGCAAAAGAAAGATGCATGGCTATTAAATATTCATACATATTTTTCAATGGGAGCTGCAAATTCTCGTTTGATTCATCTGATTTGATCGACTTTTATGTTTGCAAAAAACATAATGATATAGTGAACCAAAAGACGTACATCGTCAGAAAAAGAAAGCAGCCCCCAAAAGTTAAAGATTCTAAAATTGTTTTGGTGACCTCCACAAGTTTTGTGCTCTTTCTCTGTAAATTAAGCAAGACAAGACAGCGGATCTTTACATGTTCATCACTATTAGCATTTAGCTCGATAGTGCTGTCGAAGAGTAAATTCTTCGTCCGAAATTAAATTCCACTAAACTAATATAGTTAGTTGATAAAAAATAAACTCCATATTTAAGACATTGGATGTTATATCTTACCAGGTTGATATTATTATGGTTATAGATCCACCAATCAGCAGATGCCAGGTCTTGTTATGGGCAAAGTTTGTAGCATAGCAAGCACTGAAAAATCATGAGAAGTAGACATATATACAATTATCAAGATCGATAGAGAGTCCATTGGTTTATTGTTAATGAATCAATTATCGACCTAAGCTTAACCAACTAATAGCCAAGTATGGGTAAAGTAGTGAGATATTTCAACGCGCCCTTCATGTGATTGTGTCACACATGAAAGATCCACTTCCAACAACACCGATATTGTTCTAATTTGTTATTTACCACATACACAATCTGTCAGGTGTAAGGTTTTATCACAAAATGCCTCGATATTAGTTGTAGTAGAGTTATAATATTTAAACTCTTATTTTCTCAAAAATATGATCGATGTGGGATATTTCAATAATAACTTTTTACGGTACTCTTCAACAACAATCAAATTCACAAGGCAAACCAAACCCTCATTCATATATGATATATATGATCTCATGGAAGAAATTGAGAAATTTTCCTTTTAGGGCTGCCAAAGCCAAGCCAATGAAGATCGATTATTGCCATCTTCATCACTGATCTGTGTTAAAAAGTTGCTAATATGCCTTGTGGCTTTGTCTGTTTGGAAGAGATTTGACTAGGTTGGGACCCACTGATCACGTGGAAGGGTTGCCTAAATGCCACTGGGGAACAAACAACTGCAGAAAAGGAGGGTTAGAAGACAAAGAAATGGTCATTTACAAATCTCCTCTAATCGCCTCTCCACCAATTATAATCCATCTCCCACGTGGGACTCCTCCATTCCCGAACCCACTAATGCTTTGTAGTTTGGCATCCTTTGCTCTCTTTTTTTAACCCAGTTTTTTTTTCATTTGATCTCTATATATATCTCTCTCTCCCGATCATATGACTCTCAGCTCCCTGCGATCTCTAGCCTGCTAGCTAAGCTTTGTATATATATCTTATAAGCAAGTCCCAATCATATTATACTCTCTCTCTCTCTCTCTCTCTCTCTCTCTCTCTCTCTCTCTCTCGTTTGTGTGGTTAAGTTCCAGAAGAATTCGACCTACTTAAGATCATAGAAATAGAGATCATGGGAGATTCTTCATCAGCATCATATATACACATGGTAACTTATTCCACTTCGAGTATGCATACATATACGTATATAACAGCTATATGTACATGTTCATGCTTCAGTTTTTCGTTATTGGTTATGATATATTTGGGATGACGGTTGTGCCCTAATTTGAAATATTATAGGTGCAGCACCTGATAGAGAAGTGTTTGACCTACCACTTGACCAAAGAGGAGTGCATGGAAGCTCTTTCTAAACATGCAAACATCAAACCTGTTATCACCTCTACTGGTTATAACTCTCTCTCTCTCTCTCTCTCTCTCTCTCTCTCTCTCTCTCTGCAACATAGTCATACTATCACAATATGCATGCAAGTAAACGAACATCAAACCCACGCACCACAGAAGTTCTTGAGGCTGTGAGTAACCAAGAGATGCATGTTTGTAGGCTGATTATCACCCGTGAGTCGTTACTCAAAATTATTGTTCTAAAATTGACGAACACAAAAGTTAATGATTCTTCTAATAAAACTGTAACAGCCCCAGTAAAGAATCTGCCCAATTTTGGCTTAAATTAAACGAATTATATGGGCAGCCCCAAAATAAGATTAAGCAGTCGGAGGCTTGTAACTCTAGTGTTTAAGAGTGTTCATAAGTTAATAACATAATATGTTAGAGATTCTGAGTCGAAATTACGACTCTTTATATCTCTTGTTCAAATATAAAATTGAGCCAAAGTCGATCGACTACGGTACGTACCATCTTCAACAATCTCCCAAACTATTAATGTGCATATATGTAAATAACTGCAGTGATTATATATATATATATGAACTTAACCTAGTTGGTAAAAATTTTGACGTAAATTCTTAGTTAAAATACTGATAATAAAGTAGTGATGATCATATGTGTTGATATATGAATGATTGTGGTGAGTGCAGTATGGAATGAACTGGAGAAAGTGAACAAGGAATTCTTCGAGGCGTATGAAGAGTCTCAGAATAAAGGAGATCGAATGTCAGAGGAAGAGACAAGCCAATTGATACAAAAGATGATCTCGGATTCCAAAGATTCCGACGACTAGTTATTTACACACACATGCCAACCATCTATCGATCGAAGGCGATCTCACTTTGGCTTCTGCTTTCTGGTTGGTAGCTTCAGATATATGCAGCCAAACTACAATAGGCAATAAGATCAAATGATTATCGTCTTATTATCCGGCCCCATGCGCAAATATATATGTATTTATTATTCTGTATGAAAATAAATAATACAGAAGAGTACGGATTTATTTTATAACCGATTCGTTTTTAATTTTAATTTTTCTTATTAAATATAGTGAGAAAGTATATGGAAGAATACGTGAATTAAGATTGAGGAGCAAGTGTGGTTGGAGGAAGAGGGGAAAATACACTTGGAATATCATACAAATTAAAAACCCAAAACTCAGAAACCTATTAAGTTGTTTTCAATTTTTGATTTGTGGTTTTCATGTAACATTTCATGGGAGTTTTTTTCATCTTTCTCATCACTCTTTTTGTCCATATTCATTCCTCATTTCTTCCTTGTATTTCGTTATTCTAACGAAAATTAATAAGTAAAACATATCAAAACGAGGTCGTAAAGATGCCAAGTAATGCAATTTACAATTAGTAGTTGTAAACACAAATCCGTCATCCATGCACGTAGGTTTAGGTCGAACTTACTATATAAACACATGTAATTAGATAATAATTTGCGGTAATAATAATGTTGTAGAGAAAGTAGCACTGTCCGCAGCTGCTTTTCGGAAATTTGTCGTATGGTGGGGCCGGTGGGCGCAATCACACCATGCTAGAAGCTTCACGTGTCGACAGATGTCATTTGAATTGTCATTGTGCTTCGTCTTGTAGCAGTAGTAGTGTTTAAATAGAGTAGGATTCTTTTCTTCGTCATTTTCTTTTCTTTCCTCTCATTCTCTCTCATTTTCTTTTGTCCTTTTTTGAAGAAAAAAATCAACGTAAGATGTTGATGTGTTATAATCGCAACTGTTTAAATAAAAAGAAATTGTAAGAGACCAAAATTTGGAAGAAATAGAATCTAACTCTGCTTAAATAAATACATATTCATATGATGGCATGCAGTTGCATTTGCATTATACTAGTGTTGATTTTTTGGAAGATTGTAGTGATGTTATTTGTTTATAGAGTATACAATGAATGAAGCAAACAATGTGGGGACTCCAACTACGTTGCGGGGTCGTCGTAATCACATACTTTTATTTAATTCCCTTGTTTTGTGATCATTTGTTTGTTTCTTTGTTCTTTACCAGCTTATTTTTTGTGAAAAATCTCGAGTGCCCATGTGGTTTTACAATTTTTTTTACAAGAAGCGATAGTTTGATATTTTATTAGAGTAATGTGATACTAACTATATATGTGTCACCTTTCTAATAAATGTAGGGTCCGTCAACACATATAGATCATATTTTATATTAGAAATATGATACAAATATATGATAAGAGTAACATTTTTGTCATATTTTATATTAGAAGGATGATACAAATATGTGGTAAGAGTAACATTTTTATTTTATTAATCAATGTAAACAAATATAAAGGTGCCAATTGGGCACAATGCTCTACTGGTCAAGAAAATGATCTAGACCGAATTTGCTCAAATAGACAACTATAGTAAACCCCTAAACGGTTATCATATATACGAAAACTACAATGTCTCCAATATTAATCTGTTACAAAACGATACACAACAAGTATGTATCGACAACTACAACAGCCCATCACTGAATAGTGATGCCATATAAAGCCATCGTAGAAAAGTGAGACCACATAAAGTCATTGTTGGTATACGAGACCACAAAAGTAATTGCTCTAGATGAAGACCACACCACATAAATTATCCCTCAAGACGAAGACCACATCTAGTCGTCAATGTATATAGTGTAACCACAATACAACATAACTGCCGTACACCGAGAAGGGACCCACCAGTCATCTCATCAAGCCGCAGCTACTACTACCTCAACCCTCAACCAAATTTGAAGCTCGACATGGCAGAGCCACTATATCTGACACGCGTAAAGCGGTGGGATAAACGGAGCTGCTCACCTAAGGCGGTGCAAGCATCATATCCCCAAGCCTAGGGCGGCGCAGCCGTCACTTTCGATCACTGAGGCGGTCAGCCGAATGGTCAGTGCACACAAGGCGGTGGGGCTGCCTCCGAACGCCTAAGATGGTTGAAGAGTCAAAAACTGGTCGCCCAAGGCGACACAAATGCCAGGTCCCGATGCCTAGGGCGACACAGCCTTCAAAGGCGATCAACCATCCAATCTGAAAGCATAAGGCGACGTAGCCACAAAAACAGGTCGGTGAGGTTGCTGCATGCAGATTCAAGCGAACGAAGGTGGATCCGACCCACTAAAAGCATAAGGATCATTGATTAGTGCAAAAGTTGGACTGGTTGTAAGAATAGAAGTTAAAACTTCCGATTTTTATTTCTTTCTTTCTTTGAAATTGAAGCTGGAAGATGAATTGGTCTTGATACAAGCTTATATCTCTAATGTTTATTTATCAAGAATAGATAAGCATCGTATGACTATCATTTTTGTTTCTAATTATCATATTATATGTTTACTAACATAAAAAAAAATAAAAAATAAAAAAAGTAAGTGAACACTATGTTGAGATTAAATATGTGATGCCTAGACAACCAAGTATGTTATGGATATGAACAATATCTCATTGTTTATACCACACATTAACAATGAGATATCGTTCCTATCCATAATATCTTCCATTTCTAAGTAAGAAATCCTATAATTTTTGTGAGGATTGGAAAGAATAATGTAGTTGCATAACCAAATTCATTCCCATCCCACACAAGGACACTTGCAAAAGACAGAGAAAAATAAAGGGAACTTTAACGAAAAGCTCCCGGTACTGTTTACTTTAACGAAAAACCACATTTTTACACTAAAAAGTCAATTCTGGTACTATTCACTTTACCCTTTATTTTGTCCTTATCGTTAAAACTCAATGTTTTCAAACCATTTTCATTAGTTTCCTAAAAATAAGACAAAGAGGCTCAATCTCAATTCCAATAAAAGGGTCGAAAGTGAACGTAGCTCAATAGAAAGGTGCGTTTTGTAAGCGTGCTCAATGGTTGGAAGTCACATATGGCCCAGAAAAATCATTGATTGGTTCGGCTGCCATTAGTCGGTGGCATTGTTAGCATTGTTTTGGGCCACATGTGTGTTGAGTTGCCTGGATAGGTGCGTTTTGTAAGTGTGCTCGATGGTTGGAACTCATATGGCTCTGAAAAATAACTGATTGGTTCGGCTGCTATTAGTCGCACTGTTTTGGGCCCTAGGTTTTATTTTTATTTTGTTTGGTGTGTGTACGGTCGTACCCACGAATTTCTCTTTAAGAGAAGTTATCTCAATTGGGCAATTGAACTCCCCAAAATCTCAACATCCCTCTCCATCCCAGCCTAATCAGTCGGGCCATTGGTAGGCTTAAGACCGCCGAACAAAGGAGTCGGGCAGGAACAACCTGACCCTGCACCCGAGGCCATGTGACGTTAGCCTACCGTTATCCATGATATAATTTTTTTTGCGCTAGGCTCGTGCTTGAGGCGAGTGGTCCAACAAAATGCAGGTTGTGGAGCAAAAAATAATCAAAAAAATATGGAGGCGATACGTGGATTTTTGGGTGAAAACGACAAGATTACCCTCGAGGCACATCAGAACTCCTACACTCGAGCAGTTGACAATCATGACTCAATCATAACTCAATCAAGGTCAAAAATGCTCAAAATGGGTAATCATTCAAAACCTATTTCATCCATCCTCATCAAATCTACAAGGTAACCCCTAAATCATTCATTTCAAATTATATTAATTAGCTAATTAATTAATTTATTACTCAATTAATTAATTAATTACTTAATTAATTAATTAATTACTCAATTAATTTATTAATTAGCTAACAAATTATGAATCACACCCAAAAAACCATCTAAGTGGCCGGTCCCCATCCTCCCAAAGGGGCCGGCCATACCCCTATAAACACCACCTCATTTTCTCCAAAACTCAATTCCAACTTTTTTACAAAATTCTCTAAATTCTCCAACATTTTTCCCTCAAAATTCTTTGGCATCGGAGGTTCTTTGGCCAAAGCCCCCCCCCCCAATTCATTGTGGGAGCGTGAGGCTCTTGGCCTTGACCTAAGGTGTTATTTGTTTTGTAGGTGCAATTTTGTCCAAGAACAAGAAAGAAGAAATTTGCATCCACAAATTGGTGCTTTCATTGAGAGTCTTGATCAAACGCTCGTAGAAGACTCTCGCATTCAAGATTTTTCATTTTCTTGTTCACTTATAGATTTTTCGTACGTTCTTATTCTTGGAATTTTTATTTTTAAAAATTCTTTGATAAAACGTAAAAGAAAAGTACAATGGCAAGAGATTCGGAAACCTCAACTAACAAAAATTCCACCGTTCAAGAATTAGGACTGCGGCGATCTACGAGGCTCAACACAATGATGAGTGGAGTGCCACCACCCCCATAGGCCACCACGGGAGCCACCCTCGACAAGGCCCATGGCACCATAACCACGGCCCAAGCCATGCCATTCAAGCCCACACGGGCCCAAGCCCAAGGCGAGACGGTCCAAGCCACTCAAGCCCCACGCGAACCCAACGTGTTGCCAAGCCGAGCAGCCCATTCCCGTGGCCCAGCCTGCTCCCGCGGTATGGCCTGCTCCCGTGGCCTTCCAAGCAGCCCAAAGCGATCCAAGATTAGTTCAACCATCCCGGCTTCAAATTTCTGGGCCTACGATTGAACCAGGGGCATTTTCATCACATTTCTTTGTGGATTTGACATTTCCCAACTCAAATCTCGAGCCTAGAGTCTACCACACTTCCACTGATCAATGAGACGCATTCATTCTAAGTTTTTCCAACCCAAATGGAGAACATACCTTGTCTCGACAAGTTATAGAATTGACGAGAACCTTCACACAACAGACGACCTTAGTGAATCAGCTCTTACAGCGTACCGAGATGCAACGTGCCTCAGACGAAGTGTCCCAAAGTAGGACAAGGGCAGACAAAGAACCTCTCCAGCAATGTCCCGGTAAACAGCCATTCAACCAGCCACGAACCGAGCGTTTGGGCAATGTACATTCCCGATTGGGCCCCCGAGATAGCGTATACTCCCGTCTTAGTGTGCGGAGGAGCGTGCACTCTGGACTAGGCCCACTGACGAGCATACATTCACGGTTGGGGCCACACTCTGATAGTCAACA